TGATATAAGGAGTTAGACTAAGTATCCTGCAGGCAGCCACTCCCTGGAACCTCCTGCTAATCTTTGAAGGAGCAGAAATAGCAAGGAGAAACAGATCCACCTCTCCTCTACACTCAAAACACTAATTAAACACATCTTAGGTCAGGATCTATTGTTTGTAGCCACACCTGTTGTCAACAACTTTGAAAGAGCAAAAATAAGCCCAGACTCTAACCTTCAGTCAAGGTAGAACAGGCTCCCATCTGTGGGCCTCTGCAAGTTTATATGACAACAGTGTACCTTTGGTGGTCTTCAGAAGATTAAAAGATTTATTAAATGTGGTAATTCTAAAATTATTGGAAAGCATTTTCTAAAGATTGAGATAGAGTTAAAATTTATTTTAATATATGCATGATAAAGCTATTGAGAAATTATTCTTAAATTCTATCCATCTGTTTGTCTCTCTAAAATGTAACAAATGGGGATGCATAGCATCGGGCACACAGGAGCTTGGAAGTAACTGAGTAGTCATGAAAGTTTTGTTTCAGTTACATATTCTGTGACTTGAGAACTCTGATGTGCAAAAAAAAGTTGCTCTAAAAGTCCCTCTTCGCCATAAATGTACCTGCTAAGCCTCTGCTGCTTAACCATGGCTGATGTGGTTTTATTTCTTCCCATGTCTCATTGCTCTAGCTGGGGATAGCTGCAGACTTACCATGGACATAGCACGTCATAGTTTGTTGTTTAACATCTTTATAGACTTAAAAAAGTAAAATGTAATAAGACCGAGAAATTGCCTCTTCATGTCCTGCTGGAGAGGTTGTTAAAACTATTGTTTCATGATTGTTACCGATGGAGTCAATTTATCATTGAAATAATAACAGCACCATGGAGATAATATTTCTCCTGCTGCCAAAAGCCACTTGCATACGAGTCTTTATTGACTTTTCAGTTTGTTAAATTTAATTTTTTTATCAATAGCACCTGACTTTATTTTTAGTTATTACCTTGAATTCAAATTCTTAATTTACATGTCAGCAATCATTTGCTTGTAGGACAAAATATCTTTGATGGGCATGGGGATTGGGAAGCCTGAAGTAAAGTCTCTATGTGTTGCCATGCAGTTATCACAGAATGCTCATGCCAATAATTGAAATAGGTGTTCATGAAATCCAGACATTCACATACATGTCTCTGTGATATTATACACAAATGGTTTTATGTCTGGATAACTGATTTTTTTTTCATAAATCTTGGAGGCATTATATTTTCAATCAAACTATAATTTGATTAATACCTTTGCTTCTTTCCACCACTTGACATTAACATGATTTTGGTCTCCTAGATTACATCATAATATCACTGGAAGGAGATGCCTACTGAAATACTGAACAGCAAACACAAAGAAAGGAGGGGTTTGGGGTAATTTATTCACTGAGTTGTTTTTTATTTTCACTCTTTGGGCTCCCGCCACCCAACTCTCAAATAAATTCACCGAGACTTATTCTAACTTGTAAATGTCAGAGCCTACTTGGGTTGTTTCTAGCCAGCTTTTTAAAAGATTATCCAGTCTACATTTTGCCTCTGGGTTTTTAAGTTTTCTTTATTCTATATACCGTTCTTTCCACCTTTCCTTCTTATTTCCCCTCTCTCCCTCTTCTCTTATCCTTCCATTTATTCTCTTTGCCTGCAAGTCCCACCTTCTTCTCTCTCCTGCCTTACTATTGGCCAATCAGCACTTTATTAGACCAATCAGCTGTTTTAAATTGGCACAGTTACACAGCTTCAGAGTTAAACAAATGCAACGTAAAAGAATGAAACACATCTTTAAGTAATAGTTCAGAAGTCTAAGCTCTTTAAGCAAATGTGGGCTAATGTTTATTTAAGTTTTCACGGATGATTCCAATGGATATCACAAGTATGGAAAGATATGGCTTGCATGGCATCAGTGGGGATTTCTCAGATGAAATAAAAATTTGTAATGTGACATGAACCTTATTCTTCACAATGAAGTCACTAGACAAATTATTCAGCACCTAACCCACCTTTTGTTCACACTGAGGCAAATTCTTTTGCAGGGCAGCAAATGCTTTGTTACATGTCAGTTACTTTTAAAGTTAAAAGTCTTGCTAATACCAATGTCAATTCTAAGTGGAAAGTGTTAAGACCAACTGATAAAAATCATGATTTTGTAAATTCAAAGTTAATATACAGAACTAATTTTTATAACCTCATCTCAAGATTACCCAACTTTAAAAAAAATGACAACAATCATACAAGGGGTTGGGTTGTTAAGGTGTTTTGTTTTGAGACAGGATTTCCTGTATAACTCAAAGGCCTGGGGCTTGGCATTTAGAAAAGACCAACTTCAAACTCATGATCCGCCTCTCCGAGGCCTTGTTTCCTGGGTTTTTAAGTGCCAGCATATTCAGCTGAGGCTTTTTAAATTTTATATATTTTTATAGTTTAAACTGTTTGGAGACTTTGCTAAAGTCACAGAATGTGTTTATCCCAATGGCTTTAAATATTGGATGTAACACAAACAAATCAAAATAAGTCCCTATGTTGTTGTATACTAGTAACAGTGTGACAAACTAATTCAAAAGCAACTTCAAAATTCCATTTTGCTCAGACATTTAGAAAATAATAATCAGATCAAAGGAAACCCATACTAACATAAAATGCAATCAGGATTGTGTGCTTTCTTGATAGATTTATTTTTTAATTGCACACTCAAATGGTAGTCAAAGTTAGTTTGTTATCAATAGTACAGAGTTATTTCAGTAAAGAAATAATATTTGGATGCACTACACTTACCATAATGCTCTAATAAATACATTCTATTTAATGTTTTCATAAAGTAAGTTAATGTGCAAAATATGTAGTTATGAATATCCACCAGTAAATTTTATACAGTCTTAAGTCACTAGCTATAAATGGATGATGTTAGAATTTGTGAAGAAACAGTTCATATATTTTTACTTCTGGCTACTAAAAACAGTCACATACCTGAGCATCATTTAGAGTTGTCAGAAAAAGAACAGGGCATTTGTATTGCCAGGATTGACAGTGTTCAAAAGCCATCCAACTGAGAGTCCTATGGCTGGTGTCCGTTACCTGAATACATTCATAGCTTACCTTAAAAATTATGTGTGTAAAATATATTGGAATACATGTGAGATGGGGGTGTCTTTTTATCTAATCTCATTTATTTTAAAAACCAATTAATGTGTAATCATTGGTGTTTATATACTAATGGAGTATATGACTGCTTGTGACTTATGTCATAATTATTTTCCACACACAAGCAACTGAATAACGAGGACCAGTGCTATCAAGGAAGGGGCAAACTTAGATGCTTTTTTTCTGGTTCAAGCCCCGAGTTCAGTGTGGCTGTCCCAGTTATTCCGTGGCTCTGGGACACTTGCTGACTCTTTCTAAGAGCAGAGAGGGCATGTTATCCTTATTGGCCATTGCAGTGTCTGGCCATGTGGGAATCACCTGAGCTGCATGATACATATAGATTGCTGAACTAAGATCTCTGAAGTGGTCTTACAGCCTGCATTTGCCTTCACATAGACCAGTGATTTTGTCAGTTGTGGAACTGGGTATTAATGGTAACTTCCAACCCACTTTCATTCTCTCTGATCACTGAGTTGCTAGAATATATTTGATATATGAATATGAATAATGGAGTCTGGCCTCATTAGCAACCTAAAGCTTGTCGTCATCTGACTGGGGAAACACAGAGGGGCAGTGCCCTTTCAAAGCGGTCATCTTTGATTGCAGGGTAGACATAACCTGATATTTCACACTAAGGTCCGGAATGCAATGTCAGCCAGTCTCAGAGAAATTCAGAATACGCTTCACTGTATTCTTTTTTTCTCTAGAAGACACTACTGTGTAGTCAGGGTTCTGCTGTTGTAGTCACTCCTTGTCTATTTGCTTTTTTTGTGATTTCCTTTTTACTTTTTCTTCATCTCTTTTATAAGATACTCAAGCAGCGATTTGCTTACTGAATTATGACCATGGCGTTTTACAACCTAATTAAAAATAACTATGAGGTTGTTGCTATGGGAGATAATTTTATTGAATGTATTTTATAATTAATTATATATCGATATAGTCAAGTGTCATTAATTAGTCTAATTATAAGATGTAATTACTAGAATAGTCGTAGCGGTTTACTGCTGTCTAATAGCCAGGGTTTGGAATCTCGTTTGATCGCAATGATTACTCCAATCCCTTCCTTTTAGATTATTCTCCCGTTCTTTGCTGATATATTAGATTTGCTTGGCTGGTTCTAGAGCATCAGCTTCTTAGGTAACAAATAAAATATCCCAAAGACAGCCTTTTGAAGCAAAGATGAATAACAACAAAATATAATGGATAAGAGGGTTCCAACTTACTGTCTTCAGGTAGCATCGCCTATGCCTCTCACTGTTTAACAAGTCATGACAATTTCCATAGACCATGGTAGTTGCATATTTTAACTATCTTTAAGTTTGAAAATATTAAAAGATCTATGTACTATCAGGCTGATTTTTGGGGATCTACCTACTTTAGATGTAAGTAATATGTAACCTACAAACTTTCATTTTGAAAATAAAAGTAGGATGGAAAAACTATGAGAATACAGTAGGCAGGAAATAAGTATTAAATGTTGTCATGTTTATAAGTATTGACTCGGATATGAAAGAAAATTAACTTCCAATCAATAGGTTATGAATAGCTATATAATAAAATTTGTCAGACATTACACCTCTGTATAACTATCCTTTGGTTTCTGCACTGTTTAGCTGGCTTAGATACTAGGAAATGCATTTCTAGAAAATGTATGTGTTGTGTCTATTGGCAATATTATACAGCCATTCTCCTTGGAAATCAGTTTGGCAGACTGTGCATCAGAGTTTATCTTGGGCTAATTATGATGTACTACGCTCATTTTTACATGTGGCAGATGGACAGATGTCTTGATATGAGTACTAAGTCTTTTTTGCTTTACCTTCTCTGTGTTACAGAGACCCTGGAAACCCTCATCCGGCAAGCAGAGAATTACACCAGCATCCTTTTCTGCAACACCTACAGGAACATGGCCTTGGAGGCTGCCGCTTCCATTCAGGAGTTTTTCACTGATGTAGGGCTCTATTTATTTGGTGCAGATGTTAATCCTGAAGAATTTGTAAACAGATTTTTTGACAGTCTTTTCCCTCTGGTCTACAACCATCTCATAAACCCTGGTGTGACTGACAGTTCTCCCCAATACTCTGAATGCATCCGAATGGCCCGCCAGAATGTTAGTCCGTTTGGCAATATCCCCAAAAGAGTCATGGGACAGATGGGGAGGTCCTTGTTGCCCAGCCGCACGTTTCTGCAGGCCCTTAATCTGGGCATTGAAGTCATTAACACCACGGACCATATGCACTTCTCCAAGGAATGCAGTCGAGCCCTCCTGAGGATGCAGTATTGCCCGCACTGCCAGAGCCTCATGCTCAGTAAGCCCTGTATGGGGTACTGCCTCAATGTCGTCAGGGGCTGCCTGGCCCACATGACAGAGCTCAATCCACACTGGCATGCTTACATCCGGGCCTTGGAAGAGCTCTCAAATGCAATGCATGGGACCTACGACGTTGAGCACGTGCTCCTGAACTTCCACCTGCTTGTGAATGATGCTGTGTTACAGGCACACCTCAATGGGCAGAAGCTACTGGACCAGGTGAGATGCCTCTCTGTGCCTCCCAGCTCATTTCCTTGAATGCAAAGACTAGGCAGGTTGCACCCTAAATTTTGTGACATTTCATTTTCATGTTCTTCACATTCTTATCAGCATAGTGAATCCATTCTCTAAGAAATAGTAGCAAGATGAATGGATAGACATCCTATCTATTTATGCCAAAACTTTGAACAGCTAAAACAACACTTTACCCACTAAAGTAGACAGTTTTTTGAATGGTTCGGTGATTCTGTGAGAGCTCGCGTTTAAATTAGGAACAACATCGATTTGAGTTAGAATGCAAAATTAACTAGCAACGTGAAACGAGGTGAGAGTTTTAAGTCTCTGGGTCCCTAATATCCTCCTTGCTAAGAAGACAGTCCTGCAGATGTCTCTCGCAGCATTCCTCTTTGAGAGGGCATCGTTTATGCAAACTGCCGAGCACCTGTATATAAAAAGACAGGCTGTCGTCGTTGGACTGCTGCTGATAAGAGGTTTGTAGTTTCCTAGCTTTAGAATGGGAAAACACTGCTTTTGCATCCGTGACGTTAAGGCTTGATACCTGGGTGTGCAGAAGCGTTTCTTAGGATTTCGACAAAGTGGCGGAGTGACAGACAGCTTGTGAAAACTTGAGCTCGGCCCTCTCTTGTTTTATTTCTAGCAAAATAAGTATCTTTTGCGACAAAACCATCAAGCAAGGGACGCCAGAGTTTTCTCTCTCTCCAGCTTCCTGCGGAGCTCTTTAAAAATATTCTCAGGCTCCTTCGGTAAAGCTGCTCATGTTTCATAGAGTGAAGTGGGATATGCTGTGAATGTTTCTCCTACATCACTTCTGAAATAAAACGAATACTCTCCAGTACCAAGAAAATCCATCTTCCTGCAGTGACATTGATTCACTGACTTAACAAATATTCTCATCACGATGTCTGTATGTCAACTCTTCCTTTCTGGTAGAAGGTGGGCATGAAAATGTTTGGGTTTATCTACTACCTTCCAGTTCTTTCCCTGTGGCCTTTGTGAACCGCTCCGGGGCCTTTAGAAAAATTAGAAATGGCGCCCTCTGGTGGCTGCGACATAAGCATGTGGCGTTCACTGGATTTCAACCCCCAGACTGTGGTCTGCAGAATGTCCCTACACAAGGACACTTTTATTTTGCCATTTTACAATTAGTGTTCAAAATAATAGGCTTCATTATGACATTTTCTTATATCTATCATTTTGTTCCATATCCACCTCCTAATGCCTTTCCTCTTTATCTGTTCTAATTTGATATAAATAAACCTCATTTCTTGGTCTTTTCTCCTCAGTTTATGTAAATCAAATATAGCATAGACTTCTAAAAGAACTTAGCACCTCAAAAAGAATTAATAGTTTTAAAATTTAAACAGGAAATATAATATTTATACTACGATGACGAGTGTGCACAGAGGGAATATATGTACTATTTTACCTGAGGGAATTTATGTACTATTACCTGAGGTCAACTCTACAATTAGTTTTTTTTCAGTGTTTTCTTTCTGTTTTAAAGTTTTTTATCGATTTTATTGAGTTATACATTTTCCTCTGCTACTCTTCCTTTTCTCCCCTTCTATTTTATTATTTTTGTGTATCTGAGTGTTTGCTTGAACATATGTATGTAGTAAGAGTGTGACTGATGTCCATAGAAGTCAGAAGAGGTCCTAGTGAGCCTGCCATGTGGGTCCTGAGATTAGAGCCCAGTTCTCCAAGTGCTCGTCACCTCTGAGTCATCCCTCCAGGCCTCAGAGTTTAATTTTGGTTTGTGGTATGCTAGTTAAAATCTTGGGCCAGGGATTTCTGATGTATGTAAGAGAATTGATGCTTCAGGTTCCCTGTGCTATGCATTTTTGAGAGCCAGAGTACCTTTTTGTATCCTTAAAATCCATCACCTAGGAATTTATCTATTTTCCCTCTTTCAATGGTTGAAATAAAAAAGGACTCCGGTGGACACACAGGCATGATTTTAAACCCAATATTGTCTACCCGTAGCCTAGGCAAACTGTTCACAGTGCTGTATCTGAATGTGGCTTGTATGGCAAGGATGGTAGGGCTGGATTAGGTGGGACAACATTGGCCAGTCACTGGAGCTGGATTCGTGCCCACCTGCTATTTTCTTTCCCTATTCCAAGGTCATCCCTGATCAAATCTTGGTTAAACTGTTTACTTCTGTGTTTCAAATTATTAGTATAATGTTTGTGTTCTAAGAATCCATTTTAAAGAAAGCTTTCATCCCATGAAATCCCCAGGGAACCTTACAGAAAAGAGAATGAGAAGTATAGGCAAGTCGGAGAACCGGGCCAAGAGCTGCAAAGGACACTGAAGTCATGAACTCACAACTGTGATTTCCTGCACTGGGGCTTGTAGGATTTGCCTTATCCACAATTACAGCCCCTCCCCCATGTTTCTCTCGTTCATCCCCTTTAATCTGTTTAGTAATTAAGTTTGACAGTTTCACACAATAAGGAATACTGAGCATTCTTACCACTGTCTTCACTCATCTCTCTCCTATTCTGCCCTCTCTTCCTTCCTAGAAATCTTTCCCACTTTTATGTCTATCTGTTTTATGAATCACTGAGTTTACCCAGGGCCTTCGGTATGACCATGGGTTTGGAGCTATTTGTTGGAACTTCAACAGACCATGACTCCCTTTGTCCCAGAATCTCTCAGTAGCCAGTGGTTCAGTCATAAAGAGTAGGGTTCTGTGTGCCTGTCTCCCTTCCATGACTAAGTCTGTGTTGTGCTGACTTCAGGAAGGTAATTATGGTTCTATACTCATGGTTGGAACAGTTGTATTGGTGTTTGAGGACAGCGTTTCGCAGCTCCTCCCTTAATCACCTGACTCTTAGATATATCCTGTCTTCTCTTCCACAGTGTTCCCTGGATATTAGAGGCGGTGTTGGTAGCATAAATGTCTAAATGTGTTGTAGGGTTGGGGGCTGGGCTCCCGCTTGTTTTCAGTGTCTCACATTTGCTGTCATTCACTGAAAGATGAGCCTTTGTGATTAAGGTGGAGAGCGAGTTTATTGTTGTTTTGTTGTGTGTGTGTGAGAGAGAAAGAGAGAGAGAGAGAGAGAGAGAGAGAGAGAGAGAGAGAGAGAAAACATAGGTATGTAGAAGTCCCATAGATGCTGTGTTTTATTTAAACAGCAGTGGTAAGTTCCCTCTTGAGTTTCTAACTCTCCAGGCATGGGTTGTTGTTAACTACACGGACAGTGTCAGGTATGGACTCCCTCCTATGGATTGGGCTTCAGATAAAATTATAAGGCTGTTGGTTACCCCCCCCCCCCCACACCCAGCAGTTGTACCACTATTGCCTACGTGGTTACAACTTTTTTGGGCAGGTTGGTTTTTGTTATATAATTCTCACATGCGTAAAACCATTGCTAACATCTTTACTAATGTTATCTTCTGTCATCTGAAAGCAAGCCAACAGGTGCTTAGTTTCAGCTAAGCACCAGCTTCCTCTATACCCCACAATGAGGCATGTGGTGTTGTCAACAATAGGGTCTGAGCCTGTAGTTATTGTCAATAAAGAGGACTGACAGGAGATTTCTGTTTCAGGAACCCCCCCCCCCCCAAAGTCTTATTTTAGAAAATAAAATGATCTGATATGTATTTAAAGGAACATAATTATTAGTAACAAACTATGGATTATTTTTCAAATAAAGCAACAGAGATCCTCATTTTTATTTATTTGGAAAGAAGAAAAACTGACTTTAAGTTCCTTGTAAATTGACTCATTAATATTTATTTGTGCCAGCTTCAAAGTGATTTATAAGCTGTTTATCAAGTTTTGATAACCAGTTCACATATCAATGATTTCAACAAATTCAAAATAAATTGTTAGAGAGTAGCAAATAATTCCTCTTTCATGTTCCCAAAGCAACCTGTGAACTCAAGCACTTCTTCATGTATTCTTCAATAAATATGCATTTACTCTTAAAGGGATCCATAGAGGAGCTGATATATCATGCTGTGTTGGAGGGATTTTAGCCTGAAAGAAAAATAAATCCTTAATATATTGACAAAATCATAAGCATTGCGCGCGCGCGCGCGCGCGCACACACACACACACACACACACACACACACACCTGCCAGCAACAGAAGCATGTTTAGAAAGACTATTCTTTAAATCCTATAGCTTTTACCCCCCTGTAGATTAGCTCAGAATTTAACTTAAAAATACAGAAGCAGAGCCAGAAAGATTGGGATTAAAAACACAGGCAGTTGTGTGAAGCTGGATCATGCAACTGCCTGCATCATCTTTGATTACAGGTAGTTTTCAATCTTTCTAATACAATTCCTCATGTTGTGGTGACCCCCCCATCATAAAATTATTTCATAACTCTAATTTTGCTACTGTTATGAATCAAAATGTAAATATTGCATATACAGGATATCTGATATGCAATCCCTGTCAGAAGGTTGTTTGAACCCCAAACAGATAGCAATCAACAAGTTGAAAAACACTTGTCTAGCAGTAGACTGAACATTTCCTTGTTAATTTAGTTTGCTCTCGGGTTAAATGTGGCAATAACAGCCCCATATCTAGAGCATCAGGAAGCCTTAGATTCGCACTCATGCTTAGTGTTTGCTACAAGGAGAGTTTTTGTCAAGTAACCTGTGCAGTATAACTCGTGATTTGTCTGGTTGCATCCGCATTACCTTAGAATCAGTATCTGATTCACTTTTGAATTACAAATCATTTCAAAATTGCAATTAAGATTGATTGTGCAAAATCATGTAGCTTAATTAGCTGAGAACAATGATCTCATTCTTCCTATATACACTAAAATTTACCTAGTTCTGAGAAAGGACAGTAACATCTTATGCTCATAAGTATGTCAACCATACCCTTGTATAAAAATTGAAAGTAAACATAGAAATGGTAACTTGGATTAATAGGAATATCTGCTCCTTTTCCTCTAGTATGTGGTACTCACTTTTCTATAATCTCACTGTCCATGAGGCTGTGTAAGCTGC